GCTTATTTCACTTAGCATAATATTCTCCAGTTCCATCCATGTTGTTGCAAATGTTAAAAGTTCATTTTTTTAAATAGTGGCATGGTATTCCATTGTGTAGATATACAATAGTTTTTTAATTCTCTAAAATTTATTTTAATATATTTTATTGATTTTTTTACAGAGAGGAAGGGAGAGGGAGAGAGTCAGAAACATCTACGAGAGAGAAACATTGATCGGCTGCCTTCTGCACACAAGGAAGGTACATGTCCTTGACCAGAATTGAACCTGGGACCCTTCAGTCTGCAGGCCAACGCTCTATCCACTGAGCCAAACCAGTTTCAGCTACAATAGTTTTTTTAATCCACTGATCTGCTGCTGGGTACTTAGGCTGTTTCCAAATCTTAGCTATTGTAAATTGTGCTGCTGTGAACATAGGGGTGCATTTGTCCTTTCTGATTGATCTTTCTGGTTTCTTGGGATATAGGCCTAGGAGTGGTACTACTGGGTCAAATGGGAGTTCCATTTTTAACTTTTTGAGGAAACTCCATACTGTCTTCCACACTGGCTGCATTAGTCTGCATTCCCACCAGGAGTGTAGGAGGGTTCCTTTATCTCCACATCCTCTCCAGTACTTGTCATTTGTTGATTTGTTGATGATTACCATTCTGACTGGTGTGAGATGGTATCTCATTGTTGTTTTGATTTGCATCTCTCAGATGGTTAGTGACTTGGAACACATTTTCATATGTCTCTGGGCTTCTTTCAAAAGTGTCTATTTAGATCCTTTGGCCATTTTTGATTGGATCATTTATCTTCCTTTTGTTAAGTTGTATGAGTTCTTTGTAAATTTTAGAGATTAAGCCCTGATCTGAAATATCATTGGCAAATATGTTCTCCCATGCAGTGGGCTTTCTTATTGTTTTGTTGATGGTTTCTTTTGTTGTGCAGAAGCTTTTTATTTTTATGTAGTCCCATTTGTTTTTCTCCTTAGTCTCCATTGCCCTAGGAAGCTGTGTCTGTAAAGATATTGCTGCGACATATATCTGCTATTTTGCTGCCTATGGAGTCTTGTAGGATTTTTACGGTTTCTCATCTTGTATTCAAGCCCTTGAGCCATTTTGAGTTTGTTTTTGTGTATGGTGTAAGTTGGTGATCTATCTAGTTTCATTTTTTTGCATGTATCTGTCCAAATTTCCTAGCAACATTTATTAGAGTGTTTTGACTCCATTGTATGCTCTCGCTTCCTTTGTCAAATATTAATTGAACATAATGGCTTGAGTAGATTTCTGGGTTCTCTGTTCTGTTCCATTTGTCTGTATGTCTGTTTTTGTGCCAGTACCAGGCAGTTTTGTGAACTGTGGATTGGTAATATAGCTTGACATCTGGTATTGTGATCCCTCCAACTTTGTTCTTCTTTCTTAGTATTGCTGTGGCTATTTGGGGTCTTTTTTTATTCCAGATGAATTTTTCAAGAGTTTGTTCTAGGTCTTTGAAATATGCCGTTGGTATTTTAATGGGGATTGCATTGAATCTGTAGATTGCTTTGGGTAGTATGGACATTTTAATGATGATGATTCTACCAATCCATAAACATGGTATGTTCTTCCATTTGTTTATGTCTTCCTCTATCTCTTTTTTTCAAACCAGGTCTTTTATTTGCTAGAAGATTTTTTATTGCTGCTTCAATTTCTTCGGTAGTTATCTGCCTATTAGGTTTTTTTATTCTTCCCAATTGAGTTTTGGGAGCTTGTATTTTTCTAAGAATATGTCCATTTCGTCTAGGTTCTCCATTTTGTTGGAATAGAGTTGTTCATAGTATTTTTTCATAATTGTTTGTATTTCTGTGGGAACGGTTGTTACTTTACCTCTTTCATTTCTGATTTTGTTTGTTTATTTGGTTCTTAGTGAGCTTGACCAAAGAGCTGCACGTGGCTCTCGAACTGCAGTTTGCCGACCACTGCTCTAACCAACCGAGTTATCTGACCAGGGCTTGAAAGTGTGATTTTTGGATTAAATAGATCAGAATCACCTGGGAGTAGTGAGTTTTTTGGGGGGTGGGAGGGTGATGATAGTGAGGAAGAGAAGTACTTAATACTACTTTTAGAAAATGCAGAGCTCATCTCTAGACTTCTAATTTAGGATCTCTAGGATGGGAGATAGGCATTAGAATTTTTAACAACTTCTAGTTTTATTTTTGTTTTTTAATAAGCTCTAAAGTTTAAAACTGCTTTAGAGATTTTGAAGTAATTCCCAAAATACTGCCTAATTCACTAATACATGTATAAACATGGGACCAGAGGCAGAAACTTAAACCTACACATATGTAATCACTCACTTCTTAGTGACTTTTGTCATCTGACTTTCTTTCTCTAAGAATTTATCTTACTATTTTTCTCTTATTTTTGTTCTCTTGTCAATCTGCATGCGATATGTTAGCATTAGGACTCTGGCATCAATAGCAGTAATTCTCTCTAAACTTTCCCTGCCTGGCTGGTCCTTACTCCCTTAAAGAGGACTATAGGATGTAAAAGATATGCTCATATAGAAATGCAGTCAGTTAATTCATTCTTTATTGAACTGTTGATAGCAATTATATCAGTCTTGGGTGGGTAAAGATTTGGACCCCGTGGTAATAAAGATTTGTGAAGCTGGGGTTTCCACTAGCTGAAGAATTAGTAGAAACACCATTCAAACCCCTTCTCCCAAAGACATACACTTTAATGTGGTCCTGTCATAATATCAGGAATGGATATTGTAGATTCAAAAGGCTCTATACTGCTTACCTGCCCAAATCTTATAAGCACTGTTTTTGTTGTTACTGAACAAATTTTTGCTTTTAATTAAGTAGTATAGTTAATTGTGTTTAGAATTTAATAATTTTATTTTCTGTGGGGGTTTTTCAGACACACCAATTTACCAAATAGTTAAAAATTCCCTAAGTACAGCAGAAAACCTTTTCTGTATAACTTTTACCTAAAAAAATGAAGTCTACAGATTCTTAATCATCTAGATGCTAGATTTTGCAGGAATCATCCTTAAACTGGGCTTTTAAAATTAGGTGCATTTCTAAGTTATCTTATGTTTTAGAGTTTTATTATTTGGTTATAAAATTAGATAATTATTAAGGGATCAATGTCATAATTTATGAAACAGATGTTTAACAAAATCTGAAAATAATATGTGGTACATTGTATGTTATGCTTTCAAAAGAGGTTTTAAGTCATGTATTATATGTAGAAGTTGTTAGCTATTCAAAAGGTACAATAAGAGATTATTGTTCATATCAGTGTAATCAGTTGATACTCCCTGATCGTACTTTTTCATTTTGCACATTGCCAGAACATTGAACCTTAATCTTATTCTTTGATTGACAGTGACTAGGGAAAGATCACTTGTATTTTTTGGGATAGTCACATCTGCTAAACTTGATTCAGTTGAGGGTATTTGCATATTCTTAAGTATTTCTTCTGAGAGAACCTAAATCCTTCTCAAGTGCTTGATGGTTTTTTGAAATTCATTCATAAGGTATCTACATGCACTAATAGTTCTGAATAATATTGCTGTGCATAATCTGACAGATAAGACCACATTTTAAAACAAGGTATTCTTTAGGAATGCTATATTACATTTTTTACTTGTTCTGCTCATAGAAATGTCAAAAAATTTTAAATGGCTGTTTCAGTGTTTTGATTAAATTAGTATATCCTAAGTTTAGACAAGTTTGTCAATCATAGGACAAATAAAGATTTATTAAATAATTCAAATGGTAATGGTAGTTTTTTCTGCCATGGTAATTTTATAGAAAACCAATGTAGAGCTTGAATAGATTTGTTTAATCTCCTTATTTTATAGGGAAGGTTACTGAGGTTCAAGTTACTGATTTACTCAAGGTCATGTTGTTTGGAAATTAAACCTTATGTTAGGTCTTAACTCTCAGACCAGTAAACTCTACGAAATGCTAGTTTATGACCTCTGGTTACATTAATGATGGTATAACCTCTGATTTACATTATTTACAAATTGACCTTCTAAAATTTCCCATATGATATTAACCAATGCCACACCAATAAATTAATTAAAAAATACATTTTATTTTTGCCATAGGAACACATAATCAGGGGTTATTATGTCTTATTCATTATAACATTTCTCCAGAATTGACACCTTATCTTTTTCATGCTTCACACCCAGTCATTATTTTTCTGTCCTGTTATCATTGTCCTCCTATGCTATTATTCTGTAAAGGGTAATTTTGAAATAAGATAGTTTATTAATGGAATGTTAAATACCTTTGATAACAAATAGGTTCTGTTTTTGTGTTCTCTTTTTGATGAGTTGGCTATTGCTATGTGGAGAAAAATTTTTATATCTTTTGGGCTTGCTTAGCAGTGTATGCCACAGGCATAGGATCAGAGAAACCAAATGTTTCTTCCTTGATATATGTGATCTTAGGAAAGAGAGAGAATTGTAGACTGAAGTGATTAGAAAAGGCTCCAGGAAGAAATCAGACTCAAAATATAGGATAGAATTCAGAATTTATAGGTAGAATGAGGTAGAATGTTACCAAGGCTGAGTGTTTCCTTTAAAAGTATAGGCATTCGGGAAGGTTAATTAGGTTAATGTAACCTAATAACATTAGTTTTACATTATAATGTAGATAGGTTATATTAAGATAACCAAAGGAAGGAACACAATTATTGAAAACTTTGATATCTGCCCCTGTGCTTTTTACAGAGGCCCTGGAGACTTTCTGTTCTAGTTTCCTTTCCTGAGTTATTGAGAGTTGTTAAATCTTCCCTTATTTTTGCCTGTGTCAGCTCTTTCCAATTTTATGTCTGCCTTACATATGTAATAGTTGTGATATAAACTCATTACAATTTTATTTCATTATTATTTTACAGGAATTCATTGGAGAAGGAAGTCTCAATTGTTTAATCATATTATTAAAATTGTATTTTAAAATATTTGGCTATAAAGTAAATGACTCCAAATGACATAATAATTTTTTTATCCTCCAGGAATCCCCTTCCGGTAGAAGGAAAGCTCTTGCTACTAGCAGCATCAACATGAAACAGTATGCAAGCCCTATGCCAACTCAGACTGATGTCAAGTTAAAATTCAAACCATTGTCTAAAAAAGTTGTATCTTCCACTCTCCAGTTTTCATTGTCTTGCATTTTCCTCCGGGAAGGAAAAGCCACGTAAGTTTATTTTGTCCAGAAGGCTGCTTCAGAGTGTGTGTTTAAACACTGTAGGTTTATAGCTTTGGACTCAGTAGATTAGCAACAGTTGAGAACATCTACCACATACCAATCATTCTTACCATTCTTTGTTTCAGAGGTTGAATTAAATGAATTCCTTGTTATTAATAGCCTCTTGTGACTCTAGAGATGAAGAATAATATAAAAGTGATTACAGCAAGTTTTAAGTTTTATATTATAATTGTATATTATAGTATATCGTACATGTTTGTTTTTATATTTTAGTGTCTTTTGTGTAAGTGGTTATACTCTGAAATATAGACCAATTTGTGGAGCTGTTTGGTTCAGCTGAGATATAAGAGGAACCCAAAATGAAAAGCTTAGGGATAAGAGTAATGAAAGAATTAAAGGAACCTTTGCCAATTCATGTTCTTTGGTGCAGCCTTCCAAAAATTGTATAGCAAGGTGTACAGATAGGCACACTTTGTTATAATCACTATCCTTTTCAAAAACCACTTCTAAAGCTCCCAATAGGCATTGCACAAAGATAATTTCTATACGCAGTTGTAGTTTCCTAAAAGATGTAACATTATAGCTGAATAAAATGAGGTTATTTTATTTTAACCTAGAACAGGTTAAAAAAAAAAAAAGTAACATTCACTCTAGTTAAATCATTTTAACCTAGAACAGGTTAAAAAAAAAAAAAAGTAACATTCACTCTAGTTAAATCTAGTAAGTGCATGTTTTAGGTACAGTGAAACCGTTAGTATCTATTTGGAATGGAAGATGGAAATGTAAATTCTACACCTTGACTTAAAAGATGAGGGGAAGAAGGCGCCTATAAACATTACAATCTAATCTGAATTACACTTCTGAATGTATTTGACCTAGTGAAATGTGGTTACTATAATTGGTCATGTCTACCTAACTGATTAGACTGAATGCTGTGCGTCAGAATGAGATATTTGGCACTCATCTTCAGGGAGCAGGTGACTTGGTAGATAGCATAAGCCTCTTCTCTGGAAAGTTTGCTTCTGAGTGAGTATGGTAGAGAGTGCAGAATAGAAGCATTACTAGTCTTTCATATCAGGACTGTAAATTGTAGACTTAAACATTGAGATATTAAAAATTAAAACCTTATCCTGAAATCCAAGCCAAAATGAAAGGTAAGGAAATAGAGAAAGAATAGAGAAAACAAAATGAGAGAAAATCCTTTGAAGGTGGACTCCTTTCCACTGGGCAGTAAGTGAATCAGTACCATTCATATTAAATAGAAATGTAGGTGAGAGGAAATTCAGTCAAACCAAATATCTCAGTTTGAGTGAAGTATTCTCTCAAACGCCCTATATTCCCTCTTGCCTCGTTACCTTTCCCAAAGAAAAATGTTCAGGGTTAAAATATGAGGAAATTAAATAGGTAAAATTAAGCAAATTAGCACTTTAAGAATAATATATCTTGAAATTATCCTCATTGATTGTGAGCAACTTGTAAGGTATCTATATAATAAAACATAACTTTTTTTGTTCATGCAGACTTTGTGTTACTAACTTATTTTAAAATGGGGAAATTATTTAATTCTAAGCTTATATGAGATAAAATGCAAAGAATTTCTAAAAACCAGTTTAGTCTGCAAAGTCATATTATATTTTAGAAAAATGAATATTTACATAAGAGACTTTAGTGTGTGTGTTTTTATTGTATTGTGCTAAGAACATGAGAAACTGTTTTAATTTGGCTTTCTGAGTTTTGAGGAAGTATACTTGATTAAAAGTTAGTTTGTATATGACATGTTAGAAATATGTTTCATTCATTGTAGTTTGTTTGAAATTTAAGATGAAAATGATAGATCAGGAAAACTTAAATTTTTTGTTTACAGTATTTAATGTAAATTTTTTCTTTTCTATCAACCTAGGTATTTTCTATCTTGTAATTCTTAAAAAGGCTAGACTTTGTCTTAAGGTGCTTTTTTTGTATTACACTAATTCTTTAACTTTTGAACAACTATAGCCTCTTTCAGAAAAATGCACCTTTAAATAAGATTTAAACTTCTTTTTCCTCCAGTTCTCAAAACCAAAAAGGTCATGGATTTCAGATTAAGAATTTCTATTTTAATTCCTTATGAAAATCTAAATATTTTAAAATCAGGATCTCATCTGATTTGCCAATTATCTCATTGTTTTATGAAACAAGTTTTTGTTCGCAGACTTCATGGTTAAGAAACCCTACTTGAATCCCATAAAGAAAATTTTGTCTGCAGCGAAGAATTAATGTAACTCCTAACTAGTTAGTTTTTAATCTTGTTTGCTTTTTACTAATTAAACATGCTGTTTAAAAATGAAGAAATTGGTTTTTAGAGTTTTTAATAGTATTATTTAGCTTTAAAAAGACTTATTAATGTACAAAAATGAATATATTAATATTTTTAAGTATCATTTCTTTTTCAAGTATCATTTCTTTTTCAAGTAATGTCATTTAATGAACTATGAATTATAAATCATTGATGTAGGGATGAAGACATGCAAAGTTTGGCTAGTTTGATGAGTATGAAGCAGGCTGATATTGGGAATTTAGATGACTTTGAAGAAGATAATGAAGAAGATGATGAGAACCGAGTGGACCAAGAGGAAAAGGCAGCAAAAATTACAGGTTGGTTTTATTAAACTGTAAGTTTATTTATATTTATTTATTTATTTTTGTAAAGTTGAAAGCTTATTCTCATTTCCCAGGAAACATAGTTTCACTAACAAGGCATTTTTTTCTTCCTTAAGCCTTTATAATCTAACTAGAGGCCCGATGCATGAAACTGGTACAAGAGTAGGCCTTTCTTCCCCTGGTTGCTAGCACAGGCTTCCCTCAGGCACTTGGGACCCGGGCTTCCCTTGCACAGGAAGGCTCTGCCCACCTGCTGCAGCCTGCTGGTCAGTGGCCTGGGCTTCCCTCTGCAGGGCAATCATGGGTGATGGCCGGGCCCCTGACCAATTGCATTGCACTGCCTTGGCTGGCCTGGCACCAGTGGGTGTCATAGCGTGGTCCTGGATAATCATCTAGATGGTGGTTTTGCTGTTCGGATGTTTGGTCAATTTGCATATTACACTTTTATTATATAGGGTATTCCATTTAGCTCTCTGAAAACTTTGCATGTTGCTGTTAATAATAAATTTTAGCAGTTTAAGATCATGTCCAAATTTAGTTAAGAAAGCATAGAACTTTACTAGAACTACTAATTATAATATAAAATAGCCTGAATATATTCCTACTTATTTTGTCAATGTTCGAATGAATCCTTTATAAATAAATAAATAAATAAATAAATAAGAATTTGCATTAGCTATCTTCTCCTAGTGCATGGACATTTTATCTTATATCTAGAAGCTTCCATGCAATTATTCATTATAGTTGGTTTGATCAAACTACTAAAATGTTAAGTGATTAGAATCTCTTTGTAATAATTTTTAGAAATAAAAATGTAAATGTTTGTTCAAAACCTTAAATCTCTGAAAGTTCTTCACCGATTGCTTTGAAATTTGACACAACGTTGCATTGAATATGCACGTGTTTTTATATACCTTATACCTACTATTATATAGATGTCACACCTGTGACAGGTAAAAACATGCTTTTTTTGAAAAATAGTGCCATCTGTTGGATGTAAAAGCAACACACACTATACTAAATATTTTATGATTTCATTTCACTGTTTCTGATTTACGATCCATTTACGATTTCCAAATTTCCAATTTTTCGATTCAGTTTCTTTTTTTTCTTTTTTTTTTTTTTTATAAATTTTATTGATTTTGTACAGAGAGGAAGCAAGAGAGATAGAGAGTTAGAAACATCGATGAGAGAGTGTCATCGATCAGCTGCCTCTTGCACACCCCCTACTGGGGATATGCCCGCAACTAAGGTACATGTCCTTGACCGGAATCGAACCCGGGTCCCTTCAGTCTCCAAGCCGATGCTCTATCCATTGAGCCAAACCGGTCTCGGCTCGATTCAGTTTCAATGTTGATAATGATTGAAGATTTGTGCTTAGAAATCTTGAACAAATTTCTTAATCAATTGGGAATGCAATCACTTAATTGATTTGCTGCTGCTTCATTCGATGTAGAATTACTTCGTAAACAATTACAACACAGGTGATCTTTTGTTGAATGTGCAGTCAAATATTCCTAAGCTAACACTTGAGCAAAAAGGCATTTACAATCAAATAATGCAAACTATCAGTAATGGGGTTGGAGAAATTTTAGATGCGCCAGGAGGAACTGGTAAAACGTTCCTAATTAGATTGATTCTGGCAGCAATTCAATTCCAAAATGACATAGCCTTAGCTCTTGTTTCGTCTACAATAGTTGCGACATTGTTACCAGGTGGAAGAACTGCTCATTCCTCTTTGAAATTGCCATTGAACATGAAATTCATTGAAACTCCCATGTACATCATTTCCAAATCATTCAGCATGGCAAAAGTATTGCAGGAATGCAAACTTATTGTTTGAGATGAATGCACAATGGTGCACAAAAAAAATTGCTCGAGGCTCTTGATCGAACATTGCAAGATTTGTGTGGAAACATCAGACCATTTGGGAAACTCATTAATATTGCTTGCAGGAGATTTCAGGCAAACATTACCTGTGATTCCTCAATCAACACCAGCGGATGAAATAAATGCTTGCCTGAAATATTCTACTTTGTGATGACACGTAAAGATGTTAAAAATTAACTACAGCCAGGACCGGTTTGGCTCAATGGATAGAGCGTCGGCTTGGGGACTGAAGGGTCCCGGGTTCGATTCTGGTCAAGGGCATGTACCTTGGTTGCGGGCATATCCCCAGTAGGGGGTGTGCAAGAGGCAGCTGATCGATGACTCTCTCTCATCGATGTTTCTGGCTCTCTATCTCTCTCCCTTCCTCTCTGTACAAAATCAATAAAATATATTTTTAAAAAATTAACTACAAATATGCATGTCCAGTTGCAAAACAATCGATCAGCTGAGATATTCTCACATCACTTGCTGGAAATTGGGGGTGTAAAGGTGCTGGTTGATCTGACCTCAGGATGAATTTCATTGTCTCATAACTTCTGCAATTTAGTGACATCAAAAGAGGAATTGGTTGAAAAAGTATTTCCCAATATTCAATTGTAAGAATCACGATTGGCTCCGAGTGAACGAGCTATTCTTGCAGCCAAGAGAAAAGACGTCTACAAACTTAACAATATTAATCAGTCTAACATTCAAAGCGAGGCAGTCACATACAAGTCCATCGACACTGTTGGGGAAACAGATGAAGAGGTTAATTATCCAACAGAATTTTTTAATTCACTTGATCTGCCAGGGATGCCACCGCACATACTGCAATTGAAAATCAGCGTGCCAATTATCATGTTGCAAAATATCAACCAGCCAAAGCATTGCAACAGCACACGGCTTGCAATAAAAAAATTAATGAGCAACATCTAGAAGCAACATCCTTGACAGGATGTTTCAAAGGTGAAGATGTCCTCATTCCTGGCATTCCTATGATTTCAACGGATATGCCATTTCAATTTAAGAGATTGCAATTCCCAGTTCGATCGGTGTTTGCAATCACATCAACAAAGCCAATCTTTAGAATTGTGCAGTTTAGATCTAGACATGGATTGCTTCTCCCATGAACAATTATATGTTGCGTGTTCTACAGTTGGCAAACCAGACTATCTCTATATCTGCACAGACAATGAAAAAACAAAAAATATTGTATACCCACAAGCATTATGAAACTAAACGTATTAGAAACGTGTGCTTTCTCTTTTCTTTCTTTTCTATTTAACCAGACAGCCACAGCAATGCGTGGCCGGGTACAGCTAGTTGATCAATAAATACTTATTGACAATTTGGCTATCACACTTAAGGAATTGATGTTATGCCTTATTATTAGATTGAAAACAAAGCACTAAATATATATATATCAGGCAAAATTTCAAGACAAGAATGATTAAATAGGGCATACTGATCAATTACAACACCTCCTCTAGCCCCTTCTGGCTATTATTTTTATTTCAATAACATTTTGGGATTTCTTTCCCCTCCCCCACCCCCCAATAATTAATGCTGACATTTGCATTATATTTAAATGATGTCAGCAACAATTATATAGTTATTTTTAAAATGCCTTGTCTTTCCTGTCTTTGAGATCTCTCTTTAATTTGGCTAGCTGGAGTACCTTAAGTTGGTGTTCCTCTGCTACCACTACCAGTGACCTTCTGCCTGTCCTTCAGATTTTAATTCTGTTGCCACATAGTTTGAGAAGCCTTTCATGGCAACTTCCTTCTTAAGCTTGACCACTCTCTCCTTTATGCTAATGCTATACCATTTACAAATGCAGGCATTTTTCTATAGCATTAGTTTTTATAATTCCAGTGGTATATAATTTTATCTTTTAATTGGAGGATGTAGTTTGTTCTTTGTTGATGGCTTTTAGTTAAAACTAATTATCAGTTAAACATTAGTACTATAAGTAGGAATAAAATACCCACACAGAGAGGATCCAAGATGGCTGCTCAGGTAGACACCTAACTGCAGCAGCACACAACAATTTCAATGGAATACAATTAAAATGTAGAGTGGACATTGCCCAGAGCTACAGGTAGTCGACTGACTGAAAATTCTATAACAAGAAGGAAAGAATACCAGAAGGAAAATCAGAGGAGCTGAAAAATCCTAAGGTATGGAGACATGCTGCGCACACGCAGCCGGAGGAGAAGGCTGGGTGCCTGCCTGGCTTTCCCTAGCAGGAAGGAAATAAAAACCCCGGCCTGGGCTGAACCCCAGAACCGGCAGTGCTGAGCCCCAGTTATGGGCCAGACTCTGGGGACCCAGGTTCGGGCAGGGGGAGACGGAGCTGTAAAGTGCAGTCCTGGGAGAGCAGCGAAAGGCCGAGCCCCCGGAGTCACGCACGTTGCACGCAAGGGACGGAATGTTGACTCTGATGCGGGATTGCCCTGGAGGGAAGGAAACAGGAGCTCCGGCCATGCTGGGCACCAGTTTCGACTGCTCTGAACCCCAGTTCTAGGCCAGACCCTGGGGACCCAGGCACAGGCAGGGGGAGACGGGGCTGTGAGGCAGAATCCCAGGGGAGCAGCGAAAAGCAGAGCCCCCGGAGTTGCGCACATTGCGCGCAGAGGACGGAATGTTGACCCTGATGCTGGATTGCCCTGGCGGGAAGAAACAAAACCTCCGGTGGTGCTGAGCCCCACCCCTGACTGCTCTGAACCCCAGTTCTAGGCCAATCCCTGGGGACCCAGGCTCAAGCAGAGGGAGTCGGGGCTGTGAGGTGGAGTCCTGGGGGAGCGGCGAAAAGCGAGCCCCTGGAGTCGCGCACATTGCGCACAGAGGACAGTCTGTTGACTCTGATGCTAGACTTCCCTAGTGGGAAGGAGAAAAAAAGCTCCAGATTGGAGGTACGCGACGAGGAGCAGGAGCCCCTGCCGGACACTGGCCAGCCGGGCGCCAGCAAGGAGCCGGGCGACGGGGCCCCCAGGGTGGGGGGGTGCCCCTGAGCCTTCGATCGCTGAGCGCGAGGCCGGGGGCTGCTTCCTGGGCGGCGCCGACCCCTACAACAGGCTAAAGTAGTACAGGAGCCCGTGGAGAACAAAGGGGTACCACAGGCCAACCTGCTGAGCTTCCAGGACAAAGAGGAAGAAACCGAAGAAGTTTTCAATGTGAAGAAATCAAGTGAGAGCAAAAGATAGTAAAATTACTTAAGAAAGAATACAAAGAACATCTTGAAAAATCGGACTAAGTCAGAACTCAACTCAGCAGCCAACATTGCAACATAAATGTTTAAAAAAAAAAAAAAGAAAAAAGAAAAAAAAAAGGACAATGTTGGAACGGCGGCGGCCAGGCCTAGAGTGACCAGGCACAAGGCAGTGGCAGCTGGGCCTGGAGCAGCAACAGCCAGGCCTGGAGCAGCCAGACCTGGGGCAGTGGCAGCCAGGCCTGAGGTAGAGGTGGCCAAGCCCAGGGTGGACAGTCCAGGAACACCCAGGCCCGGAGAAGCCAGGCCCAGAGCAGCCGGGTCGGGAGCGGCCAGACCCAGAACATCAGCAGCGAAGCCCGGAGCAGCCAGGCCCTGGGCAGCCGGGCCCAGAGCAGCCGGGTTGGGAGCAGCCAGGCACAGAGCAGCAGCAACCATGCTTGGAGCAGCCAGGTCGGGAGCGGCCAGGCCCGGAGCAGCAGCTGCCAGGCTGGGAGCGGCCAGGCCCGGAGTGGTTGGGCCCGGAGCGGCTGGGCCCAGAGCAGCAGCTGCCAGGCTGGGAGCAGCCAGGCCCAGAGCGGCCGGGCCCAGAGCAGCCGGGTTGGGTGCAGCAGTGGCCAGACACGGAGCAGCTGGTTGTGGAACGGACCAGAGCAACTGAGGCCAGGCCCGAAGCAGCCAGGCCCATAACAGCTCGCTCCTCACCTGCCTCTGCCCCAAGGCTGCCTCTCAGACTTGGCTGGAAACTTTTGGGGGAACTTAAGGGTCTGCTAAATCAAATGAGGAAGGCTTAGATCTGGATGTGTTAAGTTAGTATAGCCTGGGGTGTTGATCTGTGAGTGCCTTGTGTTTGGCCTGGATGAGGTTGGTTGATCTATTTGGAAATGTCTTTTGAGTGAAGTGTATCCTTGGGCATGTGGAGATATTATTATTTTGAGAAAAGGCTAAGTTACTGATTTACTATCTGAAAAATATAAAGTTCTGAAAGTTTAAGGTCTCTTGCCAAAAAGAGGTTTTAAAGCGAACACCTTAATTTTAATGGAGAAAGGGAATGACAAGCCCTTCCTACCCAGAACAGGTAATCTAATTCCAACCAGCAGCTATGTTTAAACAATGTGACCATTTACACTTGAATGGCTACACCTTTTGATAGCCTAAGGGCAAGTTTACATGTAAACAAGTTTGCTCTCACTTCCCAGGGCAGAAAAAAAAAACGTTTAAAATTATTAGATTTTAAAATTTATTCTTAGAAGAGTAAAAGTTTATTAATTACAAAAAACAACAACAAAAAAGGAGATTGAAAAACCTGATGAACAATAATAGCGGTTCATTGTAGTAGAGTCGGTGATATGGGAGGGGAGTGGACTGACTGTTCTTGGGGAAAGGGAGGGAGGAAGAGACTGAACATAAACTGGGCACCTATGGATGAGGACAATGGGGGGTGGGGAGGGGGTGGAGGGTGTGGTGGGAAGAAATGAGGAACCTTTGTAATAATATGAACAATAAAGATTGATTTAAAAAAAAAATACCCACACAATTACATAGCTGTTTTGAGCTATATCGTATTGTTTTAATCATAGTAATGGGAAAAAATAGTGATAACAAATCATCACAAGTTCTGTGCTGGTTGAAAGGAAAAGAAAGGACATTATTATTATTATTATTATTTTTTTTTTTTTTAGCAAAATACAGATTTAATGAAGGCATTCAATAATAATTAGATTTTATAGTTCATTGTCTTATTTCATTTGGCCTGCTGTAACAAAATACAATAGATTAGATAGCCTATAAACAGCAGAAATGTATTTCTCACTATTCTGGAGGCTGGAAGTCTGAAATCAGGGTGCTTGCATGATCTCATGAGGTCCCTTTTCTGGGTCACAGACTCTCGTTGTATTCCTCATATTGTGGAAATGGACAGGGTTGTTCTTTTGGGCCTTTTCTATACAGGCATAAATCTCATTCATAAGGGCTCCACTCTCATGACCTAATAACACTGTCCAAAGGCCCAATCTCCTAATACTATCACATTGGGAATTAGGATTTCACCATGAATTTTGGGGTCACAAATATTCATACCATAGCAATCATTATTTCTTAAACATACATATATACCTTTTTAAAAAATTTTTTTCTTCTGTTTGGTTTGTCCTAATTGCCTAAATTATTCCAATGTTTTAACTTTGGAAACAGCAAGAATTAACTAGAATACTCCAGTAGGCACTTTTTCACCCAGTGAATTATAATCTCATATACTGAGAATTATCTATGTAATTCATGTAAAAAATTTACTCACATACAAAATGAATTTTTATTTTAAGATTTTTCTATCTATCCATATCTTTTTTGTTCTGTCTCTTATTGGACAAATTATAAGGTTTCCTAAAATTTACTCAAGAGTTCCCTTAATAGACAAATTCATTAGAAAAAGAAGTAGAGCCAAAACCGGTTTGGCTCAGTGGATAGAGCGTCGGTCTGTGGACTGAAAGGTCCCAGGTTCGATTCCGGTCAAGGGCATGTACCTGGGATGTGCAAGAAGCAGCTGGTCAATGTTTCTCTCTCATCGACATTTCTAGCTCTCTATATCTCTCCCTTCCTCTCTGTAAAAAATCAATAAAATATATATATTAAAAAAAAAGAAGTAGAGAATGGTAGCTATTGACTTTCTCTTATTTTGTGCTGATTTTTAAACTCTATAACATGAATAAGTGCTTATTATGTTCATGATTTATGTAGATGTAATCTAAAAACTTTTAGTTTAAATTTATCATATAATAAACAATATTATATACATTTTTTGTGTTAGCAGAAAATACTTTTTATTCTGTTTTTAACATATGCATTTAAAACACTATTTTACAAATGCAAAATGTGGGCACTGAAAGCCAGTGCCAACTTCTTGGATCATTATCTTTGTTTGTGTTTATTAACATAGTTTTTATATTACTAACATAAGTTTTAACAATAAAATGTTTTCTATTTTAAATGGTACAACATAACTTTAAGTTAAATGCTTCTGTTAAAGTTCATCAAAGTAACATTCTCTGAATGTATTCTCTTGATAACCCAGCATCCCCTCTCTGTCTTTTTGAGTAACAGCATGCTTCTATAGCTCTTTAATTAAATGACCTTACCTTACATTTGTCTCGACTGGCTTCTGTTTACAGAAATTGTAAACCAATTGAATGCTCTGAGCAGCTTAGATGAAGATCAAGATGACTGCATAAAGCAAGCAAATATGCCTTCAGCTAGATCAGCCAGTTCCTCTGAAGGTCTAAGAGCTTTCTTCCTTTCTTTCTGCTTCTGACTGCCTGTATTTACTGTGACCTGCTACCTCTTGACTTCTGTCTATACTTAGCTGTCAGTTTTGTCTTCGTGCTTTTCCTTGGATGTTTTCTTTAGTAATTTGCAGTACACCAACAGGGTACAACATAACAGAACTTGCCATTTTAAGCAAAGCCTTATATCAAGATTCTCATTAGGTAGTGATTTTAAAACATCTTGTAAGATAATATTTGGTCATGTAGTATGGTCATATTTTTTCAGCTATTGTATATATTGTAATTCTTATTTTTTAAAAATATTTCTTAGATTAAACCCATTTGCATTATTTATATTTAGGAGTGAATGATGTTTTATTAAAAATCTATCAGTGTTTTTTCATTAGATAAAATTAAATTCAGATGAAAGTTTCTCTAGTTCATTATCTGATACAATTTTCAAATTAATATGTATATGTTTTGTTTCATATGAAAATGTTGGTATACTACAAAATACTTGAATGGCATTCTGCCACTCGTAAAATGCTGTCTTATTATTTGCAGGTATTATTAGTGTGAATTTTTATAATTCAAAAATTTCATGAATGATTGAAATTATGCTTTACTGTAACCATAGTGAACTAGCATATATGTTTATTTTCAGAGCTTATCAACAAACTTAACTTTTTGGATGAAGCAGAAAAGGATTTGACCACTGTGGCTTTAAATCCATTTGGTGATCCTGATGTAACAGAATTAAATCCATTTGAAGATCCTGACTCAGAAGGTAATAAGTTTTTTTTTGTGTGTGTGGTTTTATTTTTCTGTACTTTTAAAGTCTTTATATAGTCAGATTCTCTTGAATGGTGATGACAGGAAGAGATTTTTTAAAAAGACTCATAAAGTAATTTTTCTCCTTAACAATAATGTTATTGTGTTCAGTACCACTTGCAATTGATCGGCAATTCTGGGTAACTTCACTTGAATTTTTAAAGAAAAAAGAAAGACATGTAACTGGGGTATTTATTAATTTCTAACTTTTAAAATATGTTTTTATTAGTTTCTGAGAAAGGAAAGGTAAAGAAAGGAAAAGGGGAGGGGGGAGAGAAAGAGAGACAGAGACAGAGACAGAGATAAAGAGAGAGAGAGAGAGAGAAAACATCAGTGATGAGAGAATCATTGATCTGCTGCTTCCTACTCGCCCCCTACTGGGGACTGAGCCCCTGACCTCCTGGTTCATGGATCGGTGCTCATCCACTGAGCCACACCTGCTGATCAACCTAAGAGACATTATTTTTAAATGTCTCTTAGGTTGACCAAATAATAAAGCTCTATTGTTAGAAATAACATTGTTCTGTCTCTTATTGGAAAAATTATAAGGTTTCCTAAAGCAAATACTCAAGTGTTCCCTTAAAAGACAAATTTCTTATTAACAGGCGTAGAAAATAGTAGTAGCTATTGCCTGCTTTTCTTATTTTGTGCTGATTTTTAAAATTCTAGAACATGAACAAGTATTTTACCCAGCTGGCATATGGTAAAGTTTCATTAGTTTAGCAGTCTGACCAAGTGAGGTCAGGTTGTGGCACATACTGATATGGACATGGTGGGGTGGCTTCTCCTTATAGACAACTCCTCCACCCTCACCCTCACAGAGTTTGAGGAATCTCTCTAGCTCCCACTCCATGTCTCTGGCTGAGAATTAGTCAGTGGTTACAGTAAGTTGTGCATATGAATAAAGGAGCAGAAAGAAGACTGAAACCACTGTTGTCATTCATACAACGTAATTGGAAGTAATAAACTCAGGTATTTTTTCTGGGTCATTTTTCTTACCAAGTAGTTTTGATCTCTTAAAGCCTAAAAAAAAAAAAAAAAAAAAAACTGTTGAAGCAGTGAGACTTCTGTTTAATTAAACTGTTTGCTCAAAGTAAATGTAAGAATGACTAATCACTGTTTACATCTTTTAGACTGCTCTTAGGAAATCTTCCTGAGCTGTAAAGAATTTTGCTGCCACTAGTCATGGTGAAAATGAGGTTTTAACTTCAGGATTTACTTCATAAGAGCAATATTATTTAATAATCCACTTCTCTTTTTCTTCGTTTACTTTCTCCCTTATCAGATTCTAAACTAGTTTAGAATTAAGTTTAAATTAAAAGTTACAATAAATCTTAGAGGTAATCTAATTCAGCCACCTATTTTCATAGATTGGGAAGCTGAGGCCCAGGGGAATTGAATGATTTGAATAAGAACTTTAGGTAAATGGAGATGGAGTTAAAGCTAAGAATACTCATCAAGAATCTTCATTTGATTATACAACTTCTCCTTGATTATTAGTATATTGAGTTTTACAAATATTAACAAGATATTTTGAGACAGTAGTATTTGAACTTTCCATTTCATACTAAAATAAGTTTTCTAAATATAGAAAGGAATAGCAGATATCATGTGATACCGTATTTCTATATAAGGAGAGGTTAGCCAGCCTGACTCAGAATCTTTACTCATCTCCATAGAGTTAAGAAAAAATGTGACAGTCAATATTTCTCTTTAAATATACATCTCTTTCTGCAATTAACTTTATGGATTAAAAACTTGTTCCTGAAGTAAAAAAAAAAAAAGTATTTGGGGAAGATAAAAATGTGTTAGAATTGTTAAGATGGTGTACTATTATTTGCTTTACAGCTCCAGTTCTCTTATATTCATGATATTCTGTGCTTCAGATCCCTAAGTGGTTTTTGCTTGTGTAACTAACCAAAGACCTTTTCAAAATTTAATCCATTTTATGTTCTTTTAAAAGCAGAAATTTTTTTATGTATCAGTTTGAGATATCAAGCTAGTATATGGAAATAAAATAGGAAATAATAGAATATTGTACCTTTAAGAAAATTAAAATTTCCAAAATTGTCATTATATAATGCTAATATTATTAGAGATTTCAAAGGCATTCCAAAGATGCCATTTTGAGATTTACCATTCCTGGAAAAGTAGATAAAAATCTTAGATATCACACTTTCTGAAGCTAGCCCCTCCAAAATGTACTAATACTTTGCCATTCAATATTGAGTATTTTTGAAAGCATTAAAAATGTGAGAAAATGTTAGATAGAATTAATTGGATTTAATTCATCTGTTGCTATTGTTTTATAGAACCCACCACTGAAACAGTATCACCTAAAAAAACAGAAGAATCATTTTATAATAACAGCTATAATCTCTTCAAAGAGATACAAACTCCACAATATTTAAACCCATTTGGAGAACCAGAAACCTTTGAAACTATAAAGGATTCTCCTCCCCAGTCAACAAAAAGAAAAAATATAAGACCTGTGGACATGAGCAAATACCTCTATGCTGATAGTTCTAAAACTGAAGAAGAGGAGTTAGATGAGTAAGTACATTTCATTTTGCTATCATCATAGGTCAGGCTTTATATTAACTACTAGAGGTCTGGTGCATAAAATTCGGGCACAGGTTGGGGGGATTGTCCCTTAGCCAAGCGTCGGACATCCCTCTCACACTCCAGGACTGCTGGATTCCATCTATTCACCTGCCTGCCTTTCTGATTTTCCCTAACCTCTTCTGCCTACCAGCCTGATCACTCCCCTAACCACTCCCCTGCTAGTCTGATTGATGCCTAACTACTCCCCTGCCAGCCAGATTGCCCCTAACTGCTCTCCCCTGCAGGCCTGTTCCCCCCCAACTTCCCTCCTCTGCTGGCCTGATCTTCCCCCCAACTTCCTTTCCCTGCAGGCCCATTTTCCCCCAACTTCCCTCCTCTGCTGGCCTGGTACCCCCTAACTGCCCTCCCCTGCAGGCCTGGTTCCCCCCAACTACCCTCCCTTGTAGGCCTGTTCCATCCCCACTGCCGTCCCCTGCTGGCCTGATCACCCACAACTGCCCTTCCTTGCAGGCCTGGTCCCGCCAAATGCCCACCCCTGCTGGCCATCTTGTGGCAGCCATCTTTGTCCAAATGGAGGCAGTCATCTTTGACCACATGAGTATAGCCATCTTATATGTTGGAATGATGGTCAATTTGGATATTACACTTATTAGAAAGGATAAGGATCCTCTGTAATACACCTTTAAATGGGTAAAATGAGATATGGTGCAACATTAACATACACTTTACAAGTTAGTATCTATCTCATCCTCATCTGAAATTTTATAATCTTTACCATTAATTTCCTATCTCTTCCATATTCTTGTATATTCTAAACTAATAAATGAGGGATTATGAATCTCTCTGGTTAGAATTTCTATGGTGTCTTCCCATAAGAACTGTTATAAATGGCCCTTGAGTATTTTTAATTGATTACTGTATGCATTATGCTTCAATTATGTTATGAAAACCAACTAATCATTTATGATATTGATTTGATCAGAAGGCTTATTCAAATGCCAAACAATGAGATCGTAACATTTATAAATTAGAAATTGTCAATTGTGTTATTATTCTTACCTAAATGTGAGGTTGATTGACCACAAGCTCAGTATAAATAGTCAATGTGATTAGGGATACCATTTTATTCAAATCTAGGTAGGGATAAAGAGAGCAGTGAATTCACATTGTGTTCTGAGGTTATACAGTGTATTCCTTTTGTGACTACAGACTATGGCCCTGAGTGTGTTAAAAAGCAACAAGTAAAACTTCTACTTGTGGCCATATTAATAAGAAGCTCTTCAAGCAGGAGGAATATGACACTGCTTAGAGATTTGGATCTACACAAAGAAATGGAGAGCACAAGAAATAGCAAATATAGTATTATAAATAAAATACTTATCCTATCTTTAAAAACTTCTTTAAAATATAACTGGCTTTGAAGTTTAAATAATAATTTATTCTGTGTGTTTTTTTAATTGCTTATTTTAGAGAGAGAGAAGGAAGGAGGGAGTGGGGAAGGGAGAGACATCAATTCTGGAGAGTGAGTCTGCAACCTGGCATGTGCCCTGACTGGGAATCAGAGGCACCCTTTTGGTGCCTGGCAAGATGCTTGACCAACTGAGCCACACCGGCTAGGGCTATATTCTGTGTTTTATAACGTGTATAGAAATTGACAATCTTAAACATTCACAGTTATGACAATTTAGCATAAAGACTGAGTGGAAATTGAAGAGTCCTGTTTTAAACTTCTTCAACAAGTTACTTGAAGATCTACTTTTTTTATAGAGGACATAATTGTTTATGTAGAAAATCATAAGGAACCTTCAAAGTTTACCAGAACTAAAAAATAAATTTGGCAATGTTAGAGGATACAAGATTAATATATAAATTTAATTATATTTTTCCATAATAACAATGAAATATCAGAAATAGAAAAATTTTAAATACCATATACAAAAACATAAAATAAAGCCCTTGGAGATAAATTTGAAGAAAGATGTGCAGTAACCGTATGTTGAAAGCAATAAAACATTGCTGAGAGCAATTAAGAGAAATCAGCCCTAGCCGGTTTAGCTCAGTAGAGAGAGTATCAGACTGGGGATTGAAGGGTCCCAGGTTTGATTCTGGTCAAGGGCACATACTCAGATTATGGGCTCCATCCCCAGTGTGGGGCGTGCATGAGGCAGCCGATCAATGATTCTCTCAAATCATTGATGTTTCTATCTCTCCCTTTCCCTTCATCTCTGAAATCAATAAAATATATTTTTTTTAAAAAGAGGAGAAATCAAATGGACAGAAATGCTATTGGACATGAACTCAAATTGATCTATACCTTCAGAGCTATCCCAATCAAAGTTTTGACATACTTTTTTTATATATATAATAATGAAGTTAATCCTAAAATATATATGGAAATGCAAGGGTCTTAGAATAGTCAGAACAATTTAGAAAAAGAATAAAGTTGGGAGGACTTATACTACCTGATTTTAAGACTCATTAACCAAGATATTGTGGTATTGTCTTCAAAAAAAAAATGTATGTGAAAGGAGAGAATAAGAAAGTCTAGAAATAAGGCCATACACATACTGTCAATTGATTTTTGACAAAGCTTAACAAAGGAAACTTTTTAGAAATTATAATCTTTACAACAGATGGTGCTAGCACAAGTAGATTTCTGTGTCTTTCTCCTACTCCCCCCTACACAAAATAACTACAACCCTTATCTCACACCACATACAAAATTTAACTAAAAGTAGGTTATACACCTAAAATTAAGAACTAAAACATTGGAACTTTTACAAGAAAGCATAGGAGAAAAATCTTATTGACTTTGGGTTAGGTAAAATGTTTTAAATAGGATTCAAAAAGCACAAAAAAATCAAAGGAAATTTTGTTAATTTAGACACTATCAAAATTAAAACATACTTTTTTTTTTTTAAAAAAGAGGAAAATGAAAACTCATGTCATGGTTTGGCAGAAATTCTTTGTAAAATAGAAGACTTCTATCAAGAATATGTGAAGACTTTTTTTAGCCCAATAATAAGACAAACTTTTCTATTTATTTATTTATTTGTTTGTTTGTTTATTTATTTATTTATTTTAAAATATATTTTATTGATTTTTTACAGAGAGGAGGAGAGAGGGATAGAGAGCTAGAAACGTCGATGAGAGAGAAACATAAACCAGCTGCCTCTTGCACACCCCCTACTGGGGATGTGCCCGCAACCAATGTACATGCCATTGACCGGAATTCAACCTGTGACCCCTCAGTCCGCAGACTGACGCTCTACCGCTGAGCCAAACCGGTTTTGGCAAGGCAAACTTTTTTAAAATAGGTGAAAGATTTGACCAGAAATTTCACAAAAGGAAATATAAGAATGGCCAATGTGCACACAGAAAGATGCTCAACTCCTTAGTCATTAAGGAAATGAAAACTAAATCCAAATAAGACACAACATAGCCACTTGAAATGCTAAAATATAACAGACTGACTGTGTCAAATGGTGTCAAGGATGTGGAGTCACTGGAACTCTTTCAAAGAACTCTGAGTTCTACTTGATAGAACCGTTTTATTTTATTTTTAAATAAATTTATTGGGGGTAACAAAGGTTAATAAAATTACATAGGATTCAAGTGTACAATTCTGTAACACATCATTTGTATATTGCATTGTGTTTATACTATCCAAAGTCAGTCTCCTTTCATCACCATATTTTTTACCCCTTTAACCTTTTACTATCACCCTACATCTCCCTTTCCTTTTGGGAACCACCATACTGTCTTCTGAGTTTTTGTTTGTTTGTCTTGCTTGTTCATTCATTGTTTTCAGTTTTATATTTTACATATGAGTGAAATCATATGATTATTAATTTTTCCTGTCTGAATTAATTTTACTAGTAAGACATTTTCAAGATCCATCCATGTTATTGCAAATGGCAGTATTTCATCTTTTCTTATGGCTGGGTGGTATTCTGTTGTATGTGTGTACCACTTTTCCTTTATCCAGTCATATATCAAAGGACATTTTAGTGTGATACAACTATTTTAGAAAACAGTTTCGTAGTTTCTTAAAAAATTAAACTTATATTAATACACATCATTTGATGCGGCCATTCCATTTCTAGGTTCTAGTCACTCAAAAGGAATGAAATTATATGTCCACAAAAAGATTTATACATGAATATTTTAACACCTTTATTTGTCATAATAGCAAAATATGGGGATAATGCAAATGTCCATCAGTAGGCAAATGGGTAAACAAATTGTGTATACACATACAATGGAATATTTACTACTCAGTAATAAAGAAGAAATAAATGATTTTTCTAAATTTTATTTTTTAATTACAGTTGACATTCAATATTATTTTATATTAGTTTCATGCATACTGCATAGTGGGTAGACAATTATATCATTAACGAAGTGATCCCCCTAATAATTCTAGTATCTATCTACTTGGCACCATACATAGTTATCACAATATATTGACTATATTCCTTATACTTGATATTCAGTGACTATTTTGTAACTCCAATTTGTATTTGTATTTCTTAATCTCTTTACCTTATTCACCCACCTCTCCAACTACTCTCCCATCTGGCAAAACCTCAGTTTATTACCTGCATCGATGAGTCTTTGTTTTGTTTATTTGTCTTATTCTATAAATTCCACATATAGGTGAAATCATTGTATTTGTCTTTTTCTGTCTGACTTATTTCACTTAGCATAATACCCTCTAGGTCCATCCACATTGTGGTAAAGTGTAAAATTTTATTCTTTTTTGGCCAAGTAATATTCCATTGTACATATGTAACACCACTTTTTTTTTTTTCCACTTGTCTATTGATGGGTTCTTTGCTATTATAAATACCACTGCGATGAATGTAGGTAGGGGTGATAAATTCTTTCTAATTAGTGTTTTTGGTTTCTTCGGTTATATATCCAGAAATGGAATTGCTGGGTCAGAGGGCAGTTTCATTTATAATTTTTTGAGTACCCGCCATACT